TCAGCTAAGCTCCGGCCTCCTGCCGCCTGAGGCATCAGTACCCATACTACCTGATCCTGAAATAAGCATTCCCCAAACGTGGGGTAAGATCTCTAATCTAGAAATCTCAGTAAGTCAGTGAGTCCTCAAGGATCTTCCACCCCAAGCTCACTTACATGTGCAATATAAGTTCAAAAGCAGTTTATCATTTATCATTTCTAAAACAATGCAATGCAGCAGATAATCATGCCATGTGTGTCAATACTAATCTACTGGCCAGAGACAGTGCAGGTATACCTCTATCACCTACACACCGTGCAAGTACCACTTGCATTCACCCTGGTACACCGTCTTGTATGGCGCTACATACTCAGGCTTCCCGTCAAGATGAAACAACACATGCATATTAAAAGCCATTACATGTAAAGTTCAATCAACATATCAAATATCCAAAAGCATGTACACAGCATGCATAAACCATACCCCCATGGGACATGGTGGAACCACAACATGGCTAAACCGAGGACACGAAAGCTTACCTCTAAGCTAGCTATCCAATGCCACAAGCTCAAAGTCCAATCACAGCAGATCACAATCTGATATGGACCAAATATAAATCAATAACATGTACCACATGCATACAAATTAAAGACAACGCCTTTTCATTACGCTTTATGTCTTAAGGCTTCTCACCAAGCCATAAGCCCTTAATCACTTGATTTTGACTTAGTTTAATTAAAACAGAAGTTCAACCTCATCAATCTAGGGTCCACAAACCCCCAATAGCCTACTGTCCTCACAGCACAGCTACTGTTCTTCGAAATCTCAGAATATTCGGATATCCGGATATCCATATCCGGATATCTCCAAGCCCATATCCGGATATCAATATCCGGATATCATATCCGGATATTTCGCGACAGAATGCAGTTTCTGCATTTCGCGAGATATCGATCCCAAGGTTCCATTTTATTAAAACTGAAGTTGTAATTCTTTCCCAAAAATTCTGAGATTTTAATATGTTAAACTAGGCATCACAATCTTTCCAACGACATATCTTATGTCTAAATCGGAGTTGTATAGCTTTGGTTATGATTTTTGCAAAGTGACTGCTGCAACTGACTTTCCAGCAACCAAGACGCGACTTTAAACTAACACTGAGTTCAAACCACTTATCCAATGGCTACTAAATTTTACAGGGTTGTATCCCTATGTGTTAGCTTCACATAGGTCTAAACGACACTCGATTTAGAGCTCTGTAGCTCACGATATTGAATTTTTACCAAGACAGGTTCGTTGTTGTCCCGAAATCCGGATATTTCGCGACAGAATGCATTTTTTTTGCATCTCGCGAAGATATCCAACGAAGGTGGTTCATTTCAAGCATACAGAAGCTTAAACATGCGATTTAAGGTGTGTTTAACATTACCCAACATTAAGTTATCAACTTTAATCCATTACATGCATCAAGGTTCCACTTTTAAGCATAAAAACTCAAGATCATGGGTTCAACAACTTACCCAAGCTTAAAACAGAAAAGGATGATGCTCTTGGAGCTCACTTGAAGCTCCCAAAGTCCAGCACACACAAGGAAACGAAAATGGCACACCAAAGGTTGGTTCTTAGCACCAAAGATGGCTTCTTGGAACCACAAATGCCAAGCCAAAGGTTCACACCCTCAACAAACTCAGAGGCAGCAATTACCACCCCTCATACAACAGCTCCAACTCAGCAAGAAGGTCTCACACCCACTCCCAAGGCTTTATCTCACTCACACAAGGATGATTGATGAAGGAAAAGTGAAGAAAAGCTACAAGGAAGGTCAAGAAATGGTGGAGAAGGCAAATGGTAGCAACCACCAGCAGCCACTCACCTAGCAAAATCTGGTATCTAGGGCAATGTGCTCTTAATAAGGGTATTTATAGCCCAAACGCACTTAAACACACAATATTAACTTTAATTGCTACGCTTATCATTTTATCCCAAACTTTGAAATCTGAAACTAAACAATTTTCTAAGATTTATCATATTTTTCTTATAATTTTCTGAGCACTTTCCCGGTACGCGCTTTTCCAAGCCAGTACCAGTTTCCAGCACCAGTTCTCATTATCTGGACTTGAAACTCGTTTTACAAGTCCTACATATCATTCTAGTAATTATCATATACTTATTATAATTTTTCGGGATACTTTTTCGGTACGCATTCATACCGACTAGCAGAACCAGTATCTGCACTTTTCTTCCGAAAAGCGACTTTCAGCATTATTACTCACTTACTATAATTATTAAAGCCTCATAATAATTATTAGGGTCAATTATGGAATCATTTCCTATTTTCACATAATTAATTAATTAAATCCCTTAATTAACGGTGCGGGTTCTTACACATCCCGGTAAGGAGGTATGGTTTCTCCAATACTGTGGCACAAGTGAGGCAGAGGGAAAGTTTCCCTTGTGTTGGTCACCCGATCATTTTCAGTTTCCTCCTTCTAGCTACCGCTTTAAAGAGTCCGAGTTAGACTGCAATGATATTAATACTGTGATCGCCATCGGTACATACCTTCAGACGCATCATCACGCTAGTGTTGCGTCTCTTATTTATAAGTCTCAAGAGGAGCTTGATGCAGAATTAAGTATGTTGAATTGCTATATAGAAATGTTTCATACTCCGCCTAATAGCTGACTTCATTATTCTGCTTTATTTTGTTTGTTTTTCAGTTCCCCAAATGGAAAAGCAGCCAAACACTCCTCCAAGTTGGTTGGCCGCTCTGACTAAAGGAAAGAACGAGTCTACCTCCAAGTTGCCACAGAAAGATAGTTCTTCTGGGGTGGGGAAAAAGAGGAAGGTGTCCGAGCTGAATCCGCCTAAGGATGTTGTTAACAAGTCAAAAGCCAAGGTGTTGGAAAAAGGAGAAATGGGGAACAAAGGCAGGGGGATCCCTACCGAAAATGTTTCGCTATCCCCTCCTCGGCAAGTGATGGAACCCCCTCCTCCTACTTCGAGTTCCGGCTTGGTTAAGCATGCCGTATGGGAATCCGGGATCTCTGATGCTATCCGAGAAGCATTACTTCCGCCTGAGTCTTTCTCCATTGCAAAGCCCTTCACAACTGAAGAAATCAAGGTACTGGACGATTTGGAGCTTAGTGGCCTGAAGTTGTCTGGGTTAACGAAATCATTACGTTTACTGAAGCGTAAGTATCTTCGTTCCCTTGACGAAGTTGCTGCCTCTCGGGAGGAAAAAGCAAAGGCTGTTACCGAGTTGATCAAGGTGAAAGAAGATTTTTCGTCGATGAAGGAGAAATATACCGAAAGTTTATCTGACTTGGGAAAGGCTAAAACATCCTTGACGCAACTTCAACGTGATCATGAGAAGCTTCAATATCTTCATGCCAATAACAGCAAGAGTTTGAGTGATTTCAAAATCGTATATGAGAAAGCAGAGGGGGAAATGAAGTTAGCCCAAGACAAGTTGAAGGAAGCCAGGGTCCAGTTGAGGGAAGCTCAGGATGAAGCTCAACTCTACCGGGGTGAACTTGAAAAGTCTATCACTGGCTCCTTTTACAATGCACTAAGCCAACTGCAAATTCTGAACCCAGATTTGCTTTTGAACTTGGTTGGCCTAAGCCCTCGTGCCTATGTTGCCGATGGCCAAATTATGCTCCCAGCGACCGGCTCCCCGTCTCGCATTTCGGCTTCTCAATCTGAGAAATTTGCTGTCGTCGAGGATGGTGAGGAGGCTACCAACCAATCCGGCAAGGAGGTTGTGGTGCAAAAAGATCATCCCCCCACCCTGACGAAATGAACAGCCGGAATGCCAGTTGGATTTGTAGTTTGTTGGGATCCTTTGGGTCCCTTTTTGGTTTATCATGTATACTGCCGGTTTTATCCCGGTTTGAATTTTATTTCCCAGACAATTCTGAATTTTTGTGTTTGAATGCCTTGCCTTATGATATGTTGTTTAGCACTTCTTGATTCTGAATTCGCCATAGATGCATTTATCTAGGTAGTTTATTTGTCAGAATCTAGTATGCCATTGCAGTAATGCTTTTGCTTAGGCAATTTTACGAGATGACCATAACCCGGATATGCTCTCGGCATTAGGATTTCCTAAGTGGCCGAGTTACAAATCCAAGTTACAGAGATATACCTCCTCTTCATACTTGATGAGTGATACACCAAGGTTGCATTATTTTCAGTAATTAGGTGAAATGTTCATCCCAACTTGTTGTCGTAAACTCGTGCATCAAACGAGTTTTTTAATTCATGACCTGGCCGAGGTCAAAGCATCGTACGGATTCCGCTTTATGTCAATTGGATGACGCATGTTTATTTAACTTACTCGTTCTGGTAAGTTTGCATATATAATGGGCTTTGCCTTTTGACTTAGCCATTTTGTAACTTAATTTATCTAAGGTAAAAACAATAATGCCATCTGCCACTTTTTGGTATCTCGACCAAAGTAGTGGCATTTTGACTTGATCAGAGTCATTATAGAAAATTGTATTTGTACCTCGGATTTAATATTGATATATCAAAGATAGACAAGAAAAATTGCAATGTTCTCATTTATTGATATCAAATTACGAATTACATGAACTTGCCGGCATATTCAGCTTTATCAAACCCTTCGTAGAAGAAGAGTTGCATTTTGACATATTTAAGCGGAGGAATGCAGATTTAGCTGTAGTATGTCTTCAGCTTATCTGCATTCCAGGTCCGCTTAACTTCTTTGCCTTCCACTGTCTCCAGGATGTAAGCTCCTTTTCCGAGCTTTTCTTTAACCCGGTAAGGTCCTTCCCAATTTGCAGCTAGCTTTCCATCTCTGGCATTTTTGTTGCCAATATCGGCTCTCCTGAGCACCAAGTCACTCTTTTCAAAATTCCTTGGTCTCACTTTCTTATTATACTTTGCTGCCGTTTGCTGTTTCGCCATCATATTCCGGCAGTGAGCAGTGACCCTAGCTTCATCTACAAGGTCTAATTCTTCAATAAGCATTCTACTGTTCTGTTGTTCGCCTTGCTCAAGACTGGTCAGCCTTCTCCAGGAGGGTTCTCCAATCTCCACCGGGATCAAGGGTTGCAGTTTGGGTACTAGTTCTGTAACCCCACAGGACAAAGTATAACTGGTGAACCCAGCTTTCTTTCGCGGCAAACATTCGTTTTCTGAGACCCTCCACAATCACTTTGTTGGCCGCTTCGGCCTGCCCATTTGACTGTGGGTGCTCCACGGACGCGAAACGATGGGTGATGTGTAGGTCTTTCATTAGCTGCTGGAATTTCTTATCAGCAAACTGCGTTCCAATATCAGTAACCACCTCGGCTGGAATTCCGAATCTTGAAACAATGTTTCTTTCAAAGAATCTTTGCACTCGAGTCGAGGTGATCGTGGTGACTGGTTCTGCTTTTATCCACTTTGTGAAGTAATCCACAGCCACTATCAACCATTTGAGTTGCCCTTCAGCAGCTTTAAAAGGTCCTAGTAGATCCATTCCCCATTTGAAGAAGGGCCACGGAGTCGAGATGGATTTCAGTTCTTCCGGTGGTGAAAGGATCAACTTACCGTTCTTCTGACAGCCGTCACACTTCTTGACATGTTCTTGGGAATCTGCCCCCATGGTTGGCCAGTAATAACCAGCTCCGAGGGCTTTTCTGGCCAAGGCTTTTCCACCCATGTGGTGCCCATTTATCCCTTCATGGTTCTCGGCAAGAACATACTCGGCTCCCTCCGAGTCCAAGCATTTTAGCATGGGATTATGCAGGCACTTTCTGAATAGCTGGTCATTCACAATCGCATATTGGGTCGCATCTCGGACCAGCTTCCTGGCTTCCAGGCGATCCTCTGGCAGTATGCCTTTCTCCAAATAATCAACTAGAGGTTTTCTCCAGTCATTTACAGAGGTTACCATCATCACACAACTCGGCGTTGTTATGCTTTGCTGCACCATAGTTCTGTGATTCCCTGGATTTTTGGTGCTGGCTAACTTCGACAAAATATCAGCTCGGCTATTCTCCGCTCGCGGGATGTGATAAACCCGGACCTCATCAAAGTCGGCCATAATTTCCTGGACCCGGCTCAGGTATTTCATCAGTAGGGGACCTTTGGCTTGGTACTTTCCTTCTATTTGCGAGGTTACCAGCTGTGAATCGCTGAACATGTCCACTTTCCTAACGTCGTGTTCTTTGGCCTGAATTAAACCAGCTATCAGGGCCTCATATTCAGCTTGATTATTGGAAGTTGGGAATCCCAGGTTCAGAGAATGCTCTATGGTCACTGCTTCTGGGCTTTCTAATATGATTCCAGCCCCACTTCCTTTAATGTTGGACGATCCATCAACGTAGACCTTCCAAGCATCCCCGTGTTCCTCATTCTCTGAGTTCTGTGGTGTTAATTCCATTATGAAGTCGGGTAAAGCTTGTGCCTTGATTGCTTTCCGACTTTCATAAAAATGTTGTATTCACTGAGTTCTATTGCCCAGGTAGTCATTCTTCCTGCCAGGTTTGGTTTGTGCAACACCTGTCGAATAGGCTGGTTAGTCCTCACAATGATTTGATGGCCCTGGAAATACGGCCACAACCTTCTAGCCCTGATTAATAGGGCAAAAGCCACTTTTTCTAGCTTTTGATACCTAACATCTGCACCTTGTAATGCTCTACTGACAAAGTAAATCGGCTCCTGGCCTTCGTTTGTTTCCTTGATCAGCACAACACTTATTGCTTCCCCCTACTGCCAAATACAGAATTAAAACATCTCCTGGGTTTGGCTTTGAGAGGATCAGTGGAGTTGATAAACACTTTTTTATTTTTTCAAATGCGGCTTCGCATGCCGGGTTCCATCCGTCAGTTGCTTCTTTCTTTAAAAGTTTAAAAAATGGGAGGGCATGTTCTGCCGATTTCGGAAGGAACCGTGTTAGTGTCGCTAAACGTCCGGTTAGCTGTTGCACCTCTTTTTTATTTTGAGGCACAATCATGTCAAGAACTGCCTTGCATTTATCTGGGTTTGCCTCAATTCCTCTGTGGGTTAACATGAAACCGAGAAATTTTCCAGCTGCCACCCCAAATGCGCATTTGACTGGGTTGAGACGGATGCGATACTTTCTGAGCTTTTGAAAAGTTTGCTCAAGGTCCCGGACATGATTCATCATGTCAAATGACTTCACGATCATATCATCTATATACACTTCAACATTTTTCCCCAGCTGATCTTTAAAGACCTTATTCATCATTCTCTGGTAAGTTGCCCCTGAGTTTTTAAGCCCAAATGGCATCACATTGTAGCAATAGTTGGCATTTTCAGCAATGAAGGCCGTTTTTTCTTGATCAGCTGGGTACATCGGGATCTGGTTCTATACTGAATAGGCATCCATGAAAGATAACAGAAGAAATCCAGCCGAATTATCCACCAGCTGATCTATGTTAGGCGTAGGATAAACGTCCTTTGGGCAAACTTTGTTTAAATCTGTGTAATCAGTACAGATTCTCCATTTCCCATTTGGTTTTTTCACCATGACCACATTAGCTAGCCACGTTGTGTACTGTATCTCTCGAATGAAACCGGCATCCAAGAGTTCTTTAACGTGTTCCTGTAGAATTTGTTGTCTTTCAGGTCCCAGTTTCCTTTTCTGCTGCGAAACTGGCTTGGACCCCGGATGAGCTGCCAATTTGTGACAACAGAACGCGGGGCCGATGCCAGGGATTTCTGACGACTTCCATGCAAATACATCCCTGTTACTTTTAAGAAAGTCGACCAAAATTTGCTTAATCTGGGGGGTCCATGGCCTTACCAATGCGAGTAAACTGACCAGGCTCCACCCCCAGCGTTAGATCCTCGAGCTCTCCATCAGGTTCAGGTCTCGGCGTTACTTCTTCTCTCATGTCGAGTTCAACCATTTGGACCGGTTTCTTAGATTGTTGAGGAGTTAGATTTCTACTGCTTTTATCCCCCGGGTGAATTCGGGGTGGGCTTGAACGTCCCCCTCCATTATCTTTGATAGTATCGAAGTAACATCCTCTGGATTCCTTCTGATCTCCACAAACAGTGATTACTTCATTCTTATTGCTCACCATTTTTAACTTCTGGTGTTTTGTAGAAACCAGCATGT